ATTTCCTTGTAAAATACTTCAGCACATACAATCGGCTGGGTAATAATTTCCTTCGTTTAGTCATCTCCTGACCTATGATTTGGGATCCCATCAAAGACAATGTAGGGCGGAGGGATTAAGGACCTGGGGAACCTTTTGGGAAAAGGGGCAGCCTATACAGGAAGGATGGGCTCCATCTAAACCAGAATGGAACCAGATTGCTGGCACTTAAAATTATAAAAGTCGTAGAGCAATTTTTAAACTAAGGTCTGGGGGAAAGCCGATAGGTGTGGAAGAGCATGTGGTTCAGACAGAGACATCCCTTAGGGGAAAATCTATTAATGGAAATTCTCTATGTCCTAGTAAGGCGGAGAGGATGGAAGATGATAAAATATGGGTAGGATCTGATGAAACACAGTCAAATGTATAAGTAGGGGCATTGCCAGCAGATCGAGGGACGTGATCATTCCCCTCTATTCGACATTGGTGAGGCCCCACACTACAAGAAGGATGTGGAAAAACTGGAAAGAGTCCAGCGGAGGGCAACAAAAATGATTAGTGGGCTGGAGCACATGACTTATGAGGAGAGGCTGAGGGAACTGGGCTTGTTTAGTCTGCAGAAGAGAAGGATGAGGGGGGATTTGATAGCTGCTTTCAACTACCTGAAAGGGGGTTCCAAAGAGGATGGATCTAGACTGTTCTCAGTGGTACCTGATGACAGAACAAGGAGTAATGGTCTCAAGTTGCAGTTGGGGAGGTTTAGGTTGGATATTAGGAAAAAACTTTTTCACTAGGAGGGTGGTGAAGCACTGGAATGGGTTACCTAGGGAGGTGGTGGAATCTCCTTCCTTAGAGGTTTTTAAAGTCAGGCTTGACAAAGCCCTGGCTGGGATGATTTAGTTGGGAATTGGTCCTGCTTTGAGCAGGGGGTTGGTCTAGATGACCTCCTGAGGTCCCTTCCAATCCTGATATTGTATGATTCTATGATTCTATGAAATGAAAAAGAGTCCCATTCAATTACATCATGTAATGGCGGATAGCTAAAAAGTGACAATTTTTTAAAGTGCTTATATACGAATGCTAGAAGTCTAAATAATAAGATGGGTGAACTAGAGTGCCTCATATTAAATGAGGATATTGTTATAATAGGCATCACAGAAACTTGGTGGAATGAGGATAATCAATGGGACACAGTAATACCGGGGTACAAAATATATCAGAAGGACAGAGCAGGTGGTACTGGTGGGGGACTGGCACTATATGTGAAAGAAAGTGTAGAGTCAAATGAAGTAAAAATCTTAAATGAACCAAACTGTACTATAGAATCTCTATGGGTAGTAATTCCATGCTCTAATAATAACAATATATCAGTAGGCCTATACTACTGACCAGGATGGTGATAGTGACTGTGAAATGCTCAGGGAGATTAGAGAGGCTCTTAAAATAAAAAACTCAATAATAAATGGGGATTTCAACTATCCCCATATTGACAGGGTACATGTCACCTCAGGACGGGATGTAGAGATAAAGTTTCTTGACACCTTAAATAACTGCTTCTTGGAGCAACTAGTCCTGGAACCCACAAGAGGAGACGCAATTCTTGATTTAGTCCTAAATGGCGCATAGAAGCTGGTTCAAGAGGTGAATATACCTGAACCGCTTGGTAATAGTGACCATAATACATGTCTGTCGCATCTTACACGCATTTAACATTTCAGCTTGCACGGTCGGCAAAAAAAAAAAAAGAGAAAAATAACAGTTTTAATACTGTACCTGTAGTGCGGGCGATTCCACCCGCCATTACACTCAATGTAATTTTGACTATACGCGATTTTCGCTTTACGCGCTGACTGCGGAACGTAACCCCAGCGTAAGATGCGACAGACCTGTATAATTAAATTTAATATCCCTGTGAGGGGGTGGGGGACAACACCACAGCAGCCCACCATGACAGCATTTAATTTAAGACAGGGGAACTACACAGAAATAAGGAAGTTAGTTAAGCAGAAATTAAAAGGTACAGCGCCATAAGTGAAAACCCTGCAAGCTGCATGGACACTTTTCAAAGACTCCATAATAAAGGCTCAAGTTAAATGTATACCCCAAATTAAAAAAAAACATAGTAAAAGGACCAAAAATGTGCCACCATGGCTAAACAACAAAGTAAAGGAAGCAGTGAGAGGCAAAAGGGCATCCTTTAAAAAGTGGAAGTTAAATCCCAGTGAGGAAAATAGAAAGGAGCATAAACACTGGCAAGTGAAGTGTAAAAATATAATTAGGAAGGCCAAAAAAGAATTTGAAGACCAGCTAGCCAAAGATTCAAAAGGTAATAGCAAATTTTTTTTTGTAGAGTACATCAGAAGCAGGAAGCCACTGCATGATTGAGATGCTAAAGGAGCACTCAAGGACAATAAGGCCATTGTAGAGAAACTAATTGAATTCTTTGCATCAGTCTTCATGACTGTGTATATGAGGGGGATTCCCAATCCTGAGCCATTCTTTTTAGGTGACAAATCTGAGGAACTATCCCAGATTGAGGTGTCATTAGAGGAGGCTTTGGAACAAATTGATAAATTAAAAAGTAATGTCACGTCACTGGGATCAGATAGTATTCACCCAAGAGTTCTGAAGGAACTCACGTGAAATTGCAGAATGACTAACTATGGTATGTAACATATCATTTAAATCAGATTCTGTACCAGATGACTGGGGGATAGTTAATGTAACACCAATTTTTTTAAAAGGCTCCACAGGCAATACCGGCAATTACAGGCCCGTAAGCCTAAATTCAGTACTGAGCAAACTGGTTGAAACTATAGTAAAGAACAGAATTATCAGAAACATAGATGAATATGATTTGTTGGGAAAGAGTCAACATGGTTTTTGTAAAGGGAAATCATGCCTCACCAATCTACTAGAATTCTTTGAGGGGGTCAACAAGTATGTGGACAAGGGTGATCAGGGCCGGCTTTAGCAAGAGCGGGGCCCGATTCCTGGGGGCAGGGCTTGCAGCAAGCCCTGCCCTCCAGGAATCGAGCCGCGCTCCAGCCGGGGTTGCCATGCTTGGGTCCGGCCCGGAGCTGCGCCGCGGGGGCCGGGCCGGAGCCGCGCCGCAGGGTCCGGGCTGGACCTGAGCCGCGCCGCGGGGGGCGCGCTGGGCTGCGCTGGGCCGGAGCCACGCCGGACCCGAGCCGCACCATGGGACCCGAGCCGGGCCGGACCCGAGCCACGCCGCGCCCCGGGGGCCGGGCTGGAGCCAAGCCGGGCCAGAGCCGCTGGGGCCGGCGTGCTCTGCCGGAACCGGGGCTGGACTGGGCCGCGCCTCCCCAGAACCATTCTCGCGCCCCCCGCCACCCCAGCTTACCTGGTACTGCCTGCCCATCCTTGCTTCTTTTCAGAATTCCCGCAAACCTCTGATTCGCGGGAAGCAGGGGAGGGGGAGGAGCAGGGGGCGGAGCGTTCAGGGGAGGGGAGGAGGGGGACGTGAGCTGAGGGCGGGGTGGAGAGCTGCAGCGCGGGGCCCTCTTAGCGCAGGGCCCAATTCAGCCGAATCGGCTGAATCGGCCTAAAGCCGGCCCTGAGGGTGATTGAGTGGATATAATGTACTTAGATGTTTAGAAAGCCTTTGACAAGGTCTTTCACCGAAGGCTCTTAAGCCAATTAAGTTGTCATGGGATAAGAGGGAAGGTCCTCGCGTGGATGTGTATCTGATTAAAAGATAGGAAATAAAGGGTAGGAATAAATAGTTTTCAGACTGGAGAGAGGTAAATAGTGGTGTCCCCCACAGGTCTATACTGGGTCCAGTACTGTTCAACATATTCATAAATGATTTGGAAAAAGGGGTAAACAATGAGGTGGCAAAATTTGCAGATAATACAAAACTACTCAAGATAGTTAAGTCCAAAGCAGACTGCAAAGAGTTAAAAAAGCATCTCCCAAAACTGGGTGACTGGGCAACAAAAAGGGACAATGAAATTCAATGTTGATAAATGCAAAGAAATGCACATTGGAAAGCATAATCCCAACTATACATATAAAATGATGGGGTCTAAATTAGCTGTTTTCACTCAAGAAAGAGATCTTGGAATTATTGTGGATAGTTCTGCAAAAAAACATCCACTCAGTGTGCAGCGGTAGTCAAAAAAGCGAACAGAATGTTGGGAATCATTAGGAAAGGGATAGATAATAAGACAGAAAATATCATATTGCTTCAGTATAAATCCATGGCATGCCCTCATCTTGAATACAGCATGCAGATGTGATAACTCCATCTCAAAAAAGATATATTGGAACTGGAAAAAGTAGAGAAAAGGGCAACGGAATTACCTGGGGTATGGAACAGCTTTCATATGAGGGGAGATTAATAAGACTGGGACTTTTCAGCTTGGACATCCCAACCCCTTGCCCCAGGCCTGAGCCCCCACCAAACCCAAACCCCTCATCTCCAGCATCCACATCAACAATTTTCTTCAACTGGGTCGCCAGAAAAAAAGTTTGAAAACCACTGCCTTAAGGGTTCTTTTTGATAACTTGGCAATAACCATATTCTGGGTAATAAGAACCTTACTGGTTTAAACAGAAAAAACCCTCCGGTAATGATCAAAGTAGATGACTCAGAGGTGAGTTTTCAAGATAGGAGTGTAATATTGACTTGGATAGCTTTGACCTAAGTTTACACAATTAGGCCTCAATCTTGCAAGCTCTTGCATATGTGATTTTATGCACATGTGCATAAAGTCCTGCACATGCATAAGTTTTTATCGCATTGGGCCTTAAAAAGTCTACCAATTGAGTTAATTAAAATAAGTCTAAAAGTTGCATGGCTTGTTCCCAAAACCTGAGATATCGGATTTCAAATCAACTTTGCTTATGTATGCCAACAATGATTGTTATTCCAATTTTCAACATGATGGTGTTCGATCTTTTGGCTGTATATATGTGTTGGCTTTTCTATTAACAGTTTCAATAAATATAGTATAACTATTTATTTTGTAATTAGCAGTTTTCTTGTCCATTTCCAGAGGCAACAGTTTTAAGCTATGACGGAAGTATGTTTATGAAGATACAGCTCCCTGTTGTGATGCATACAGAGGCAGAAGATGTGTCCTTACGGTTCAGGTCTCAGCGAGCTTATGGCATTTTAATGGCAACTACTTCTAGGGAATCTGCAGATACACTTCGTTTAGAGCTGGATGCAGGACGAGTTAAACTAACGGTCAACCTAGGTAACAAACCCTTCCCCCTCCCCCTCCCCCCTCCAGAAATTAACATCTTCAGCATTCTTATTCTTATTATTTTGCTTGCAAGCATTTATTGAACAGCCTGTTTGACCTTAAAATTAAATTATATATATATATATATATATATATATATGTAACATGCATATATATACACACACACATCCATTTTTTAAAGTTACTGATTTTTATTCTTTTGGTTTTGCATTTTTTATTCTTTACACGATTTAACATAACCCATCATAATATATTTTGTACTATTGTGTGTTCTAAAAAGAGAAGGCCAGTTCATCAGTGACATTTCTAGATGAAATAATTTTAACCTGCTTGATTTCTGAGAATTGGTCTCTACCCACAGATTCTTCATAATTAGCAGCTACAGAAGTTGAGTGTACAGAGAGAAACTGTTCCAGCTATTATATGTAGGTCAGTGTAATTTTAGCTCCACCAATTAACATAACATATACATGCATAATCAAAAAACTTCTAATTTTCACACATGAAATATTGTACATTATGTCAACTGATGGGCATTATTGGTTTCTTCTTTTTAGCAGTCACATATGTAGTGAAATCCATCTTTTCTTTTATGAACAATTCTGTAGTGGTATTTTTGTGTCAAAAGATAACACAACCCTTCAATGCCCGAAGTCTGCGGCCCTCAGCAAACAGCCATGTGAACACAAAAAACACAAGCCCTTCTACAGAAAACAAATTAATAAAATGCTATCCTGGTTTGGCATATAATTGACAAAATGTTAGGTTACTATTTTCTGTAATAAGTATCAAACTCCACATGTCTTTTTCATTTTGCCTTATGTTTTTGTTGGGTTTTTTTTAGGTAGAGAGAAGAGAGTATGAAAGAGAACAAACACAGTGAATAAAAACTCATATAGGTTCTGTGAAGTGATTTATTTTACATAGTTGCTTTCAAGATTGATGAACAACTATCTAAATTAGCTGTTTATATGGTGATTTCAGAGATATAATATTAAAGTGTGTAGATAACCCGATGATGAGCTAACACCCATTATGTAGAAAAGTAGGTCATTGAATTACTATTCTGATATTTACGGGAGGTAGGGGTAAGAGGAGGGGAGAGGTTGAAGGGGAGAGAAGGGAAATAAAAGTTAAGACAACCAAGTGGTCCTCTTTGACTGTTCTCTTATAGTTCCCTCTTGTGACAGCCTAGGGTTAGTGCAAGCTGATAAAATGTTTTGAATCACAAAATGGCAATGTGGAGCCTCCTTCAGGAAAGCTTTCTGTAGTAAGAGGTGTGTAGGTGCTGGTCCCTGGCTGTTTGCAACCACTTTTCTGATGCGGTTGACGACACATGACAAACTCAGCTATATGGAAACAAAATCTAGGTTTTATATTATTTATGCTCCTCAAAGGTGCTGAAGATAAATTATTGTACGTACAAAACAGTGTTGCATATTTTTAAAATCCGGGGTCATAATCCAACAAAATGATTCTCCAGAGCAATCCAATATGTTTTCATATACAGTAGATATCTATATAGGTATAAAAGGAAAGTAAACCAAAAAAAACCAATATCTGTGTTAGCTATAATATTTATTCCACACAAATAACAATAGCGAATTCTTAGGCGAGAACTAAGCTGAAAAGAGATGGTTTTCTCGAACTCCTGGATTTTCCAAATAAAATGTTCTTAGATATTAATATGAGACTTTAAATACAGTAATTGTTCTGCTGTGAATTGATTGTATACATTTATATAAAGTAAAATATATACTACAGTGTGAAAGACTATTTACAAACATAGTTAATGCTTTATATTTTACTACACAGTTTAATAGAAAGAAAAAAAGTTCACCTTTGAGGTGTAATATATAACTGTGGTCCAAAATGAATGATGGTGGCTTGGCCTGCTCTATGCCCCATTGTGACGGAGCACTTTTTAATTACACTGAGAAAAATTATCTGTTCTTTCACAGATGGGGAGAAAGTTGTGGCCTGCCTCAATCAAGCATTTTTGACAGTTAAACATGATTTTTCACTTAGATTTGTCACCATGTAGCTTTGTTTGAAATTGGCCATTTTTGACTCTATACTGCCGTTTCTGCGTATAAAGTTTTATTGCACTATATCTGGGTTACAGCAATATGTAAAGACTAATCATTTGGAGTGGCCATATTTGCATGTGTCTGTCCCCGGAAGGGTGGACTGTGATTTTATTGGATGTCTGCAGCTATTACCTTGAAGGATAAATTTTCATTTTTCATCTATTCTTCCCCATCTAGACTGTATCAGGATTAACTGTAATTCCAGTAAGTGCCTATTCAAAATTTTTAAAATGTTATTCCTCCATTATAAAATTATGCAAACTAGATGAAAAGATTGTGTACAGTTTACAAGCATTTGATAACTCAGTACTGAAATGCTATATTTATTACAAGGGTGTACAAAGTCATCATATTTTCTCTACTGTAAATTGAACATTTTCTCTTTCACACCCACTTAAACCTCAAAATTAAGTAAAAAATTAAGGACACTAAAGGTTTAAATAGAGGGGGAAATAGTGCAAGGTTTGTTATAGCCTTAGCTAGTTCATAGTACATAACTATCCTACTGAATTAATCAAGCTGGGTTCTTTTATTGACAATAGCCAAGGGGTATTGAACAAGAATTCATGATTTTCCACAACCTGTTCTACAGTCTTTTTCCCATTGTTCCTTGGCCTTTCATCTCTAATCTGTGGTGAGACTCTCTGAACATAATTGTCCTTACTACAACAATTCATATTCCATAATCCTCCCAAGCAATTAACCATATTTACTTGTTGCTTCCTGCACAATTAGTTTTGCTAAACCCTTGTTTTATGGATATGTAATATATGGGTAGTATTAAGTTAAGGACATTAATGTGTCTGACAAAAACTACATTTGTATGATGATTTTTTACACTCTAATCATGTAAGAACCCTTAAATTGAACATTTTTTATCTGTGCTTATGCATGTTAATGAAACAGAGGGAAATATTTGCCAGATTAATGGACTAAATTTTATCCTTTCTGATATTATTTGGATTAAGAGGATATATTCCAAAAGGGGATAAAGGACTGTGATTTTATTTTGAGTCAGGGGAGCTCCTGAATGGTGTCAACACAATTATCTATAGTAAGTACTGTAGATTTTAGTTGCTTTATTTTTTCTTCCTGGTTTTGGTGTCCAGAATTGGTCCTACACAAATATTAAAAGCCAAATAAAAACTATTTAAACATAGCCGCCAATAGTACTAAACTCTCCATAATTCATTAGAATAATTACCCATAATATTTTTCTAGTCCATGAAGAAAAATAGGAAGCTACATTTACTTCTATATAATATGCAAGAATATGCAATGCAGATAGATCCTGCACTAAACAAGCTGCATGAGAACAGAAGTAATGCTTCATTTGTAAAGAAGTTAAACAGAAATCATATTATGAAGCAGTATGTTCTTTAGGTAAGTATTACATTCTAAAATGTATTCAGACTTAAAATCTTAACACATTTTAAAATTGTATTTTAAATTAATGTAAAACAAATGTGTCTGCTTGTAGGACAAAGTGGCTTCTTCATAAGAATAGCGTTTCCTACGGTTCCAGTTCAAGGAGAAAGTATGTCCATTTGTCTGTTGCCAAATGTGGTCAAGGACTGGGCATGTCTTTTGATCTAAAACAAGTAGCTATTTGGCACAAATGCAATGACCTTATTTGCTGTTGGCAAATGCAATTTTTCTCTGAAGGAAACAATAGATTGTAATGCAGATTTCCTTGATTTCCTATAGAATTTCACACAATCCCTCCCAGAGGAGATTTAATAACTTTAAAGAAATCTGGAATTATTAATCCATAATATATAATTTGTTTCACTTTGTGTCAACTTTGGACAAGCTCAGGTGTCATAAAAATTAAGTAAAATGAGTGGTGGACATAAATGCCATCTCAGTGTTGGATCAAGAAAGAACCTACTAAAGTAGAGCAGGTAATCTAATTAGAGTGCCTATGGGCTTGAAATAAGCAGTGATGTGGTCAATGGCAAGGATTCCAATGCAGTGATTATTATGCCATTATTACTCCTTCTTGTCCTCAGACTGAGAAAAGCCTGTTGAGAGTCTTTGGGTTAAGTTTAGAGGTGAGAGCAACGAGGATGGTGTTGTGCTGGACATCTGCTGTAAAACACCAGACCAGGAGGATGAGGTAGACGAGGTTTTCTTCGAACAACTAACACAAGTTTCCAGATCACAGGCCCGGGTCCTCATGGGGGACTTCAATCACCCTGACATCTGCTGGGAGAGCAATACAACAGTGCACAAACAATCCAGGAAGCTTTTGGAGAGTGTTGGGGACAACTTCCTTGTGCAAGTGCTGGGGGAGCCATGCGCCTCTTGACCTGCTGCTCGCAAACAAGTAAGAATTGGTAGGGGAAGTAGAAGTGGGTGGCAACCTGGACAGCAGTGACCATGAGATGGTCGAGTTCAAGATCCTGACAAAAGAAAGGAGAGCAGCAGAATACAGACCCTGGACTTCAGAAAAGCAGACTTTGACTCCCTCAGGGAACTGATGAGCAGGATCCCCTGGGAGGCTAATATGAGGTGGAAAGGAGTCCAGGAGAGCTGGCTGTATTTTAAAGGAGCCTTATTGAGGGTGCAGGAATAAACTATCCTGATGTGCAGAAAGAACAGCCAATGTGTCAGGCAACCCGCTTGGCTTAACAGTGAAATCTTCAGTGAGCTTAAACACAAAAAGGAAGCTTACAAGACGTGGAAACTTGGACAGATTACAAGGGAGGAGTATAAAAATATTGCTAAAGCATGCAGGGATGTAATCAGGAAGGCCAAAGCACAATTGGAGTTGCAGTTAGCAAGGGATGTGAAGGGTAACAAGAAGAGTTTCTTCAGGTATGTTAGCAACAAGAAGGTCAGGGAAAGTGTGGGACCCTTACTGAATGAGGGAGGCAACCTAGAGACAGATGATGTGGAAAAAGCTGAAGTATTCAATGCTTTTTTTTGCCTTGGTCTTCACAAACAAGGTCAGCTCCCAGACTTCTGCACTGGGCAACACAGTATAGGGAGGAGGTGAGCAGCCCTCAGAGGTGAAAGAACAGCTTAAGGACTATTTAGAAAAGCTGGACCTGCTCAAGTCCATGGGGCTGGATGCAATGCATCCAAGGGTGCTGAGGGAGTTGGCTGATGTGATTGCAGAGCCATTGGCCATTATCTTTGAAAACTCGTGGCGATCGGGGGAACTCCCGGACGACTGGAAAAAGGCTAATGTAATGCCCATCTTTAAGAAAGGGAAGTAGGAGAACCCGGGGAACTACAGACCAGTCAGCCTCACCTCAGTCCCCGGAAAAATCATGCAGCAGGTACTGAAGGTACATTTTGAAGCACTTGAAGGAGAGGAAGGTGATCAGGAACAGTCAATATGGATTCACCAAAGGCAAGTCATGCCTGATCAACCCGATTGCCTTCTATGACTAGATAACTGGCTCTGTGGATATAGGGAAACCGGTGATCGTGATATATCTAGACTTTAGCAAACCTTTTGATATGGTGTCCCCACAGTATTCTTGCCAGCAAGTTAAAGAAGTATGGACTGGATGGATGGACTATAAGGTGGATAGAAAGCTGGCTAGATTGTCGGCCTCAACGGGTAGTGATCAATGGCTCGATGTCTAGCTGGCAGCCAATATCAAGTAGAGTGCCCCAGGGGTCGGTCCTGTGGCAGGTTTTGTTCAACATCTTCATTAATGATCTGCATGATGGTTTTTACAGCATAGCTGCTGCCCTGTCCACCTCTCCCCGGAAGAACAAACACAGACAGACAAGAGGGGAGTCTTTGTTTCAATTTTAAAAAGTTCTAGCCTTCCCAGTGGCTCTTTTGGCCAAGTGCCCACTCACTTCCTTTTACCTATGCATAGCAGTGAGACTTTTTAACCCTTTACAGGCAGGGCAATTAGAGAATAGTTACGAAGAGGGAATGTATAGCTACTGGCTGGCTGGATGTCCATAAAAGGGAGCTACCTCCCCCCCCCCCCTTCATTTATCACAGCACTACTCATGTGTAAGTAGTACACGGCATTGACTGGAAATGCTGCATGAACCCCTGTTCTTGTGGCATGTTCACTGGTAAGGCATCCTGCAAATCCTAGGAAAACCAAGGAATCATACAAGATTATCAATAAACAGCAGGGTAATTAAATGGGTGATTGATCAAACAATGATATTCAAAAGCAATCCATTTTCAGCCTGCATTACAGGGTTCAAGCAGTGGGGAAATTTAAATAAAAACCATACAGCCATTTGAAATCTACTGCTTGTTGTAATGCATTTAGTTGCATCATTAAGAGGCTTCCATCTGTGCTCTTGTAGATGTTGCAAAATCTACTTTCATGATGAAAATGGCTAATCAATATCCATGTACTAGCCTTTTATTATCTGCTGACAAGACTGACTAGAATATAATCTATCTGTTCTTTTTCCATCCTCGACAATGGAAAAACAATAAAACACAATGGGCTGGGTCCTTGGCTAGTGTAAATTGGCACAGTCAATACAGCAGCATCGAGTTGTATCAGATGTTTTTGATCTGTGTTAAAAAGCATGTAAAGGAGCATTACATTACAGCCAGTGCAGCAAAAATCAGCATGGCATATGTGGAGTTCTTTCTGTTGCAGAAACATTATCATGAAACAGCACTATCCACCCATGGAGCCTCATGAAACCAGCATCCACTGCTATATAGAAGAGAGAGCGGGCATTAGATCCCCCAGCTGTCTCCTTCACCATCATCCACCAGCAGTTGAAAGAGAACATCATGGGAAGGTGGAAAAAGGAAACTGATGTACAAACGCAAAATGAAATAAGAGAGCAGCTTGGATATTCCAGACCCATAGAGCTTAATTTGGGCTTTGTCACAAGTCTTAAATTTCTAGTGCACTGATGCAGGTGTAGACATGGAAACACATAATCTGATACTCAATTCCCCACTTTCTCCAAGGGTGGTGGGGGTGCCTGTACTATGACATGCAGATTGCATCCCCTGCTGCACCAGCTCAGCAACCCTGTCTGGTATGCTTGTGGTGGGGAGGCACAACCAAGGCCTGACCACCTGTACAAGAAGAGGAAGAGGTAGCTTCTCGACTCTGCTCCCCTGCTACAACCTGCTGCCACTACTACTGCCTGGGATAGAGACAGTGAGCACAGGGAGTTAAGCAGTCACTTTATACTCCCTTATTTCCCTATGCAGGTGCAAGGCAAGGGTCATAATTGGGTTTGTAATG